AATTGGAGCCTATCCCCGCTGTCTTCGGGCAGTAGTAAATTTACAAGTGACAATCCAGCAGGATTTTCATCGACCAAAACTTCACCAAGCACAATTCGCAGAATAATAATTACCAGTTTGGGCTTCGGTTGTCTTTTTCTTCTCCTTGCTTTGTTCCAATGGGAAGAACACACCGTCTCCATCCAGCGCTACCACACGTCCGTCAGCCAGAGGAATTATAGGTAAAGTCCTAAGCGTCTGCAAAATTGAGTCCCCGTCTCCATAACCGTGTTCCACAGCTCTGAAGTTGCAAACAAGAAGTCTGGCCAACTGACGCAGGCCAGCATCTAGACAAGTAAAAGAGTTACTTGCAGTAAATGATTTTGTGCAATGAATTACAAATGAACAATTTCAGTACACAACTCTTAATGCACACGAATCCTTAAATTGATTGCTTCTTCTTTTTTTTCAATGGAAGAACAAAAAAAGCTGCACATGGTGAACAAAGCAGTAAACAAAAAAATAAAAATAAAAATGGTTGAATAGGAAGCAATTGGCCTAAATTGGGAAGTCCAGGAATTCCCCTGCTAATTCCACTGGAGGTCCTGCTCATTATACAGCCACTGGTCCTTCTTCATGATGCCACCGTTACCAGGTCAGAAATATGATGTTCTTCATTAAAAACAAAACAAAACAAAAAACTCCTCCACTCACCTGTGTGGATTGTCTCTTCTTTCATCAGCTCCTTGGCCATGGCTGTGGTTACCGTGGTGACATCGGAGCCCCTGAGGTGCCGAACACCCAGGTGGGATAGGAGAGAGGCAGGAGGGGCGGGGCTTAGACCGGGGTGGAGATATGACAGCAACAGATGCTTTTCCAGCTCCTCTTGGCTGATAACCTTGCGAATCACGGCATCCTTACAGACCGCCACTTGGGATGGTAGCTTGTACACAACCTGACCGCCTGTTGAACAAAACAAAAAAGGAGGAATAAACGACACTTGTATATACTGTCTCATTAATGTTACAACTCAAGAAGGTGTGAGTAATACCTGAGCTGAGTGTAGGCAGGAAGGCCTTGCCCTTGAGCAACTGGATAATCTGACCGGCAACGGGCTTAAAGAAGTCCATCACCTCGTCAGGCAGGGGGATAAACTGCAGGAACTGGCAGAGCCCCCTAAGGCCTGTGAACTCTGGGTGATCCTGGCAAGAGCAAGAATAAAAACACGGGAGTTGGACTGCACATCCCAAACAAGTTTCGTGAGTTCTTTCTCTACCGTGTGATCTATCGGAAAATGGGAACGTTTAAATTCAACTCATATTTCACTCGAATTGCTTTTCAAGATGCCACCTTACGTTGAAGACTTTCATGGCCTGAAGGAAGAGTTGTGGTATCTCCGATCGGAGCCATTGATTCCATGAGCTGTCTCTGTCAACGTCCTCTCGAGAAGAAGGGATGTCAAAGTCACCTGAAAGAAAAAAATATATCATATTTGCTTGGCTGGAATGCAAAGGTGATACTTTT